GGTCTTTTCCAATCTGTTTGATTCTGTTATTCTGTGATTCTCCAAGCCTTGAATAACAGCAGTTTAAACTGCCTTCATCCCTCAGACCACTCTGTGCAACACAGCGTTGGACAATCCCACGCAGCGAAACAAAACGCAGCTGATCCGAGCGGCTGTGAAGTTCCTGGAAACTGACACTGTCTGGTATGAGATGGGGACTCAGAGGGATTTGGGAAAGGTGATTGGGGGAAGTGAGGGAAAATGCCTGCTGTAACCCAGTTGTGGCAGGGCTCTGATATGTTCTGGCTTTGGCCTAAGGGTTTGAATTGGTTAAACCAGTCCTATGTCTGCAGACCTAGTCTGTGTGCACCCAAAGAGGGATCTGGTCCTCTGTTGAGCTCTGTTTTGGACACCTCTATGCTGGGCAAGAGTGGGAGCAGCAGGAACTGAAGATCTTGAAGAAAACAAAACGTCTTTGAAAGGCCTGGAGGGATCTGCCAGCCAGTCCCTGGTACTCCCGTGCCACTCAGACCGCTTGTACCAGTCACAAAATGCTGTGGGCTGCAGGATCAACCTGTTCATGCCCAAGCTCCTGTTTCTCAGTCCCAGCCTCTGAGGTGCTCACTATCAGGTGCACAGCTCCTGTGGGGAGAGGGGAACAGGCCTTCCCCACCTGCCATTATGGCTCTGGTCAGAGCCAGGGAGTGCTGAGCTGAGCCACTGTGCAAGAAGAGGCAGGAGTGGCCCCACACACAGTTCCAGTGGGATTTGTCCTGTGCTCTACTTGGTAAACCTTGCTGCAGCCTGTGGTTGGAGCTACTTGCAATTTTCAGTTGGACAGTTTGCTGCTCTGTTTTGTAGTAAGATAGAATTGTCCTTCCTGGAACAACAAAAAGCTCTGAATTTGGGGAAGAGTGGTGGGATTGTTGCCCCAGTCAGTGCTGCTGTGGTGGACAGCAGGCCCTTGCTGTGGTCTGTTGGGGGGCAGTGTCCTTCCCAGAGGTGTGTCCCAGCCTGGGAGTGACCATCCAGTGGGGTTTTATTCCATGGTGTCCCAGCTATCGTGTGGAGGAGCCTCCAGCCTTGGCAGAGCTGCAGAAGAATGAATGGGATCCCATTGTGGCCTGGGCTGAGAATAGGTGAGAGCTCAGAGGTGTTCCTGTCTGCTTATGCCCTGCCCTGCTTGTGACTGCCAGAGCCACAAGCTCCAACAGTCCTGGGCTTTTGCCCTGTGCTTGTCTAAGGGTTTGGGTCATTGTTCCAGGTACAATGTGACAATTGGCTCCTCGACCAGCATCCTGGGGCCAAACATCCCAGCCAGCACCAAGGAGACTTTTGTCAGCCATCTGGCATCCTACAACATGTGGGCCCTGCAAGGTGAGTGGGGCTGGGCCAGGAGCTTTCTGCTCAGGGTGGGCCAGTGAGGAGGCTGTTCCTCTCCACAGGGCAAGAAACTGACTATAATGTTTTCCTTCTCCTGCTGAGATAATCAGTGATGAGGTTTATGTTTTAAATCTGCAGGCCAGGCCCTGAGCTGTATTTGTCACGGGTGGAGACTCTCCTCAGTGCCTCTGGTGTTCAGGGTCTGACTGTGCTCTCCTATGAGCTGTTTGTTCTACTTTAGCACAGATAACTTTAATGCCAAACCTTCTAATGACTTAATCCCCAGCTTTGTTACCAGGAAAAGAAATGGAGCTTAGTACTCCAAGTGCCCCTGGTTCTGTGTACTGTCCTTGCTTTTTCATCCTTATATCCTACTTGTTCTTGCCTGAATCTGCTGGATGGCACCTAAAGATAAAGAAATGAGGTGACATTTGCTCTGCTCAAGACCTGAATGAAATCCCAAAAAGACACAGAATACTCAAGCCTGGATGGGTACCTCTTTCCTTTGCAAAGGGAAGGGTTGTGACAAGATAAAAGGTGTGGTGTCCAGGGCATGGCCTTTGTCACTGTGGTGGCAGTGGCCAGCACAGTGCTCTGTGCCTGCTGTTAACCTCCAATCTGAGTGCCCAGGTGCAGGTGGGAGGATCCCTGGCCCTCCCTGAGGGGGTACCACACCACACCCATCTCTTCAGAGCAAGTGAAGATGCTGCTGTAATGCTGCAGAAAACAGCCATGAATCTTGTTTGTTTTGGGTTATTCCCTTCCAGGTATAGAATATGTAATCACCCAGCTGAAATCACTGATCCTGTCCATGGGCCTGATTGACAGGCACATTACAGTAGAGAAAGCTGTGCTGCTGTCTCGCCTGGAGGAAGAATACCAGGTAAATTATGTTACAAAACAGCCCTATAATTCAAATAGCAATAATCTCAGCATGACAAATGCATCCCCCACCACAAATAACTGGCAAGGGAAGTGCCTGCTATAGCAGGAGACGTTCCACTCCACCAGTCTCCACGTCTGAGAGCATTTGGAACGTGCTGCTGCAGAGCAACACCACGGGCACAACAGCCCAGAGTGCTCCCAGGGCTGCCAGTTTCTTTTTGCAGAACCCAGATGGCTGCTTTTCTCCCTCGCTAATCTGAAGTGCAAAGTTGTGGCTGGCTTCTCTTGCTGTGGGTTATCCAACCTGGAGGTCTTGGTAGACACCAAGCTTGCTGGAAGCTAGCCTGATGTGAAGCTCTTCCTGCCCCAGAAGTGGCTGAAGTTGGGATTGTTTTCTCCCTTTAAGGAGCTTTGCCTCAGACCCCAGTACAGATGAAGCATGTCCTCATCTGGAGATGTCCCTGCCCCAGCAGTCAATGATCAGCTCAGTTTCTGGCGGGGGGCGGTGAGGGGGTGTTACCTGGACTTCACAAGCACAAGAAGGGCGGCTGAGAGTTGCTGAGAAGCTCAGAGTGTAATCCATGTTCCTCCTCTCCAGATTCGGCGCTGGGGCAATGTGGAATGGGCCCACGACTATGACCTCTGCGAGCTGCGCGCTCGCACAGCAGCTGGGACTCTCTTTGTTCACCTCTGTTCAGAGAGCTCGACTGTCAAACACAAGCTGTTGCAGGACTGAGGCTGGTGGGCTGGGCACAGGAGGAAAATGCCCAGCTGGGAATTGCAGGCCTGACCCAGTGGATGTTAGCCATCCTCCTGCTATCCTGTTTTCCCCGGGATCAGCGTGGTGTGCTGGGACTTTGTGGGCAACTTCGTACTTGGACTGCCTGCTGCAGTGCAGTGCCAGCAGTTCTGAGCCCACAAGGAGGAAAGGTCAAGGTGAGTATCCTCAGCATTCCCAGGACAGCAGCTCCATCCGTTCCTGGTGTCTGTAACTCATCAGAGGAGCTCCCACGGAAGAAACAGCTTCCTGGGCAGGGCACGGCACAGACATACCCAGCATATGCCACATGTCTTCATAGCTGCCAGCTCCTGACACACACTTGTTATGGAAATCTGAAAACAGACTCCAGTGCATCTGTTGTTCATCCCTCTGCGTGCCTGTCTGTAACACCAGGGTCTCCGTGTTCCATTAAAGGCTCAGCCCTGTGAGGTACCAAAAGCTGTGTGTTTCTTTGTTTCACTCCCCAAACTGTGGCGTGGCTCCTGAGCTGCCAGGCTCTGGGCAGGTGCTGGGATGCCTCCAGGCAGAAAAAACTCATGGAGCAGAGCAGACACTACTGTGTAAACCACTCCATCCTAGCTACCCTGTCTGTGCAGCTGAGGAGGTAGCACGGAGACTTACGATGCAGTCCTGGAGCAAGAAGGTGGCAGCCTGGGCCAGGAAAGCACACAACACCATGAGCTGAATCTGCCTGACAGCACCAGCCACGGGGCTTTCTGAGAGACCTGCTCCCTCCCTGGCATGCATACACAACCTCCCTCTCATTTAACCTTCCCACCTTCTCCTTGCTGCCTGCCTGGAGCAGCACCGCCCCGGCCAGCACTGTTCCTCAGGAGCTGTCCAGAAGTGAGCATGGCAGCGGCTGTCACCGAGCAAGGAGGGGAATTAATGACTCCTCGCTTGGCTGTCATGAGCAGCAGTGTGTGAGCTCCTGTGGAACCATTGATTTCCCTTCCTGCTAGCTGGGGGCTGCTCTGCTCATGCTGCAGAAAGCTGCTTGCGCGAGGCGGTGAGAAGATGAGGCTCCCAGGCATACGGAGCCCCCACCAGCCTTGTGCTTGCTGAGCTGGAAACCTGCTGTTATCTCGGGGGTGGTTTGATGGAGAGCATTCCT